ACAGTGGGCGGGATAACTGACAAAATGACTAACGCGGGCCGCAAAATCATTCTGTACAATACGAAAGCTCCTGGAAAAAAGACGAAAAACTAATTTTATCACTCCATATTAATCATGGGTGAGGGGGGGTGCTATGTACAAGAAACAAAGACAACCAACATATTTATTTTCGCAAAAAGTTATCAAAGAAGGCGACGTCATCAAATAGATAGTTTCATCAGAACTTGTCCGCGCATATTCGAATCTCACAAACTAAGCAGCAAAAAATGTTTGTGAGATTTGTGAAATTGGCGTTTGGATTTCAAGATATCATCAATATTTGATTTGGAATTGCTGCATCCAATCAAGAGAATTGATTTCAAATGTTTATCAACCACGTTTGTTCGATGTGTTGACTTCAAATACTTAATTTTTTTAAATGTTTGATAACAGACATAATTTGTTCCAAACACTGATGCCATGCTAGCGGCAAGGTAATCTCGGAAACTCAGCATCAGGTTAACAGCAGTGAAATCCAATAAGTTTTTATGTTTTTGCTTCTTTTTCAACAAGTCATTTGCTTGCAAATCAATCAGCTCCAACTGTAGTTCAACTGGCACATCGTCAAGGTTGCAATCAAACTGATTCTGGCATAGAAGAATGTTAATCTCAATTTTGTCCAGATCTAAAAACCCGTCCATAAAAATGCTTCTTCAAGTCACCAATAATTGTTGTCACAGAATCAAGGTTAACGTCTTCGGCATTGCAGCGCAAAACTCTTTGAAACGGTGAACATGAGAAAAGTTTTCTCCTTTCACTTGTGCCTCAAACAATGAGAGCCATCTCCGAAATCATGTGATGATTCTGTAGCGATCACAGATGAGGTTATCCTTTACCTGAGGTTTCAAGTTCAGTTCATTCACAAAATGTGAAGGTGCAGTCCATGGTAAAAAAATAGCAAACGAACTCGCACTTTAAAAATTCATAGCTCAAAAAGTACAGACCGACAGAAAGTGATTTTCTGATTTCGGCCGAAGCCGAAAATAGGCCGAAAATTTAAAATGGCTTTCGGCCGAAACCGAAAAAAGGCCGAAAGTTTAAAAATGTATTTCGGCCGAAACCGAAGCCGAAAACGAAGCCGAAACCGAAAATGAAATATTAAGATATTTTGAAATTCGTTCCCGCATACATTCAGCATACATCGAAATTAATGTGGGAAAGTATAAATATTTACATTCTTTTTATTAAAAAATGAGATATTCGTGAATATTAATAAATAAACATCTAATATAGGGGTCTCAAACTCGCGGCCCGCGAGCCATTTGTGACCCGCAAAACGATATTCTGCGGCCCGCTACAAAACAGAAAAGTTTAGTGTAAAAACGCCGGCCCATTTCCCCCATTCTCATATCTATAACGTAACTATCCGTGACGGTTTCAGTCGAATCTCACCCACTAGTCTAATTCTGATTTTTTTAAAAAATGTTTCTATGTATTGATCTATGCCAGGTTTCAACAGTGAGTAGGTGAATGAAAGTGAATCCTAGTTCTTGAGAACCCTTTATGATTTTATTGTTATTTATAAAGGTTGAGCAGATTGCTACAGTTGTAGTCGCTTTTTTTGGAATACTTGATGTTCCCCACTCTCATTCAGACACTACCTCCTGCGCCGCCCCCCCCCCCCTGATGATTTGAGTTTGAGACCCTTGATCTAATGAATTCTTTGGATTTTACCATTTTAATATTAAAGTAATTTAAATTGGTTTACACTTTTTTTTAAAATTAGTATGGTAGGAGAAAATTTGGCCAAAATTGGGGGGTGGGGAATGAATGCAAAATATTACTTTTTTAAACCGACTCTCTAAAAATATTTGGTTCTAAAAGATCGCTTAATTTGTTTTTAAAGATCGTTTAGTTGGTTGTTATTGATCGGTTAGTTTGTTCTTAAAGATCGGTGAGTTTGTTCATAAAGATCGCATAGATTGTTCTAAAATATCGCTTTGTTCAATCTTAAAGATCGCTTAATTTGTTGTTAAAGATCGGACAGTTTGTTGTTAACGATCGCTTAGTTTGTTGTTAAAGATCGTTTAGTTTGTTCTTAAAGATCGCTTATTTTATTGTTAAAGATCGTTTAGTTTGTTGTTAAAGATCGTTTAGTTTGTTGTTAAAGATCGCTTAGTTTGTTGTTAAAGATCGTTTAGTTTGTTCTTAAAGATCGCTTAGTTTGTTGTTAAAGATCGTCCAGTTTTTGTTAATGATCGCTTTATTTTTTCTTAAAGATCGTTTACTTTGTTCTTAAAGATCGCTAAATTTGTTGTTAAAGATCATCCAGTTTTTGTTAATGATCGCTTTATTTGTTCTTAAAGATCGTTTAGTTTGTTCATAAAGATCGCTTAGTTTGTTGTGAAAGATCGCTTAGTTTGATGTAGGTTCGCTTAATTTTTTTCATAAAGATCGCTTAGTTTGTTCTTGAAGATAATTGACTTTGTTCCTAATATCGATTAGTTTGTTCTTAAAGATCTTTTAGTTTGTTCCTAAAGAACATTTAGTTTTCTGTTAAAGATCGCTTAGTTTATTCTTATAAATCATTTAGTTTACTATTAAAGATCATTTGTTTTGTTCTTAAAGATCATTTAGTTCAGTCTTAAAAATCGTTTAGTTTGTTCTTTGAGATCGTTTAGTTTGTTATTAAAGATGCTAGATTGTTATTAAAGATCCTTTAGTTTGTTTTTAAATGTCGCTTAGTTTGTTGTTTAGTTTGATGTCAAAGATCGCTTAATTTGTTCTTAAATGTCGCTTAGTTTGTTGTTAAAAATCGCTTTTGCTGAGTATTAAATGACCGTAAACCTGAGTCACTTTCGGCCGGATGGCCGAAAGTCTAAGTCAGTTTCGGTCGAAACCGAAGAAAAACGGAAAGTTAACTTTTCAGTTTCGGCCGAAACCGAAACTTGGCCGAAAGTGATAAAATGGCCACTTTCGGGGCCGAAACCGAAGCCGAAATTCGGTCGGTCTCCATCAAAAAGCACTAAAGCTAAAAAGTTTATTTTGGTTTCAATTTTTTCATCTGAAAATCGCTCTTTAAAATAACTGAAATATTGTTATAATTTTTTTTATTTTTCTACATTGTTTTTACCGAAGTACCTAAGTCTAACCATAATGTTTCAATTTAAATTGTATCACAATGCCTTCTGTTCCATAAGCGGGACGTAGTTTGGTGAGCCCTGCTATATGGTTGGGGTTGGGGGCGGGGTTACATGCACAGCGCAGTAAGGATAATTGTTTTTGATGTAGTCATTTGCCTCAAGCGTAGCTCAATTCAGATAGATCGTTAGGTAAATAAAAAAAGTTAAGATTTTATAATTTTTCGTTATGCCATACTGTCTTCCTTTCCAGAATGGGCGCTCCTCAGTACCGTGACTCACCTAGAACAAATGTAGATATTTCAAACATAATTAAACACAGTGCTACACATATTAAATGGGTGCTTTAGGCAGTGGCGTATCTAGGGTTATTGCCACCCGTTGTGGGACGAGAATTGTACAGCCCTTTTCAACGACAAAAGCTTTGCAGTTTGCTGAAAATGATGCCCCTCCATATAAGGAAAAAAAGTGCCTCCCCGGGTGATCTGCCCCTCCAATCCCCTGGGGTGATCTGCCCCTTCCCTCCCCCTGGAGTCATCTGCCCCTCCGCTCCCCTTTCCTACGCATCTGGCTGTACTTATAGACACTTGCAGACAGGTGCTGAGTATCTCCACTGCACGCTATTGCAACCTTTAGTGTCGGAAAGCACAGCAAGTTTACTTACCATGTATTGCGATAAACAACCCGGTACAGTTGTGTGTGGGCGAGATAAGCCTCAGAAACCAAAAAGTGCATGTATATAATTATACACAAGCTTGCTTTGCTCGTAGTTGCAGCGGCGTAGCCCCATCAAAATAAAGAGATGCGATATCGTTGCAAAATCATATATCTTGCTTTTCTCTATATTTTAACCCCAAACTAGAGTCGACAAAATAAACGTGCGTGTAGACAGGTGACAAACGTTAAAATCCAACTTGAAACTTAAAAAATAATAACTATAATAATAATGCAGGAAGGTTGTTTGTTATTTTGTTGTTGTTGTTTTTTTGTGGGGCGGGGGATTTATTTACCCTACTAAAGGGTAAACTCTTTATTTTGATGCCAGACGAAAATAAAATACCATCTGGTTTAAATAAATGAATTAGCGCGAAAATACCGAAAGGGTAATTTTTGGGTAAGGTGAAAAACGTGTGTTGGGGCGGGTTAGGGGGTAGAGCTGTTAACATCTCCCGCTGTCTGCGCATTCCTGTGTAGTGCTGTGTGCTGCGTGCTTTACCCCGTGTTGGGCCGTGTAGCACGTGAGCAGTGCTAGATATAAGTAGTGACTCTGGATTATCTCAACACCCTGTACACTCATGGTTGTTGTGTTCAGCAGAACTAGGAAAGTGGTCGTTTCATTCTGTGCAGAATTACAACTCGACGTTTCAACAGCAAGACAGTCGGTGTGTTCATGGGACGTGTGTTGCTTTTTTGTAGGTAGTTTTAGTAACACGCTGGGTTTGTAGATGGTTGATGTTTTTAATGGACTACCCGCCATGTGCATTAGATCATGCTAAATATGGGAACATGCGTTGTCAAATATACATAAAGATGTTTCCTTTAGTTTTATATACTCGTCTAAATAAACATGTCTCACACTAAAGTTTTCATAGCAGTTGCCATTTATTATGTTAACAAAACCTCATTGTTGTCGTCTAAGCCTCCTTTTTTCGGTATGGGTTAGTGTTACTGAAAGAAGGCTAAGATAGCCACCAAAAGTCTTTAAAACTCTTTACTGTTTGGATTTAGTACCACCGATAGACACTCCTTGTACACATCTAGTACAAACCATCACACTGTGTACAGAAACAACGCCGTCTCTGGTTGTCTCATGTCAACATTCAGGCTGCTAGAATTAATCTCATTGTGGAAATGGTGCCATAGTTTAAAGATAAAGGTGGTGCATGTGTTCAGAATATATTCCCGATGTTTAGTAATGGTCACGGACAGGATTGCGGGCATTTTCATTGTTTTCCTTTCTATAATATCATTTAATGGATGCCATTAGGGTGCCAAGCAACAAGGCATATTTAAAAAGGGAAATTAATTTGACTTAATGAGTGAGAGTTCATATCAATTGGAATAAGTTTCTGATATTGTTTTGACAATAACATTACGGTTATTTTCATTTTTAAACGCCAGGTTAGCAAGGATTTAGCTTTTTAACACCTTAGGATTTCCTATGTATCTGTGTCAGTGCCATAATTTTATTTTAGTTTCTGCAGTGATGTTTAGATATGGATGTGACGTTTACTATCTTCAATACAGTTTTATAATGTCATGGTGAAAACATTGTCTTGGCTCATTGATCATTCTATAATGAAAGTTTAAGAGTCAATTTAACAAAAGATTGAGTTCGGAATTTTATGTTTGTGCTCTGCTAAATAGTTTCACTAAATGTGTATTTGTTAATAGGAAAAACCAGTGCTGAGTTCTTATATCAGCTGGATTTACTTATTGAACCGTTCATTGAAAACATAGCAAATGAACACAAGTGTTTCACGTGTCAGTATGGACTACTAACGGTGCTTACAATGAGGGCTCTTCATTTACCTTAGGGGCCCCTTTGCTCTCCACCACCCGGGGCGGAGTCGTAAAATATGGCAGATTCTAATCCGCCAGAAGAGACTGCTGTTGAAAAGGACAAACCCGATGAAGCATCGGGTGGGCAGTCGGTGGTCAGTGGTACAGACAGATCGTCTTCAGACCAGGAAACAATTGTAGACCACGGTGACGACAGAAAGAAGGCTGTAACAAATCTTAAAGGTGATGACGTCAATTTCGTCGGCAACAAGGCTGCTGTTAAGAATGACGATGTGAGTTACAAAGAAAGTTTGCAAATGAAGCCTCCAAACCACAATGATTATGTTCAACAATTAGACAGCACCAAAAATAGTAAACATGTACCAAATCCACCGGAAGACAGATCTGGGGCAACAGCTGAGACGTCACCAGGAAACACGCCCACGTTTGTTTACGTGCTGTCGTCCATAGCAACAATAGGCGGGTTCCTGTTTGGTTACGACATCGGTATCGTAGCAGGCTCCATGCTGTTCATACAGCCGTACTTTGAGGTAAGCAGCTTCTACTCGTATCATTATTCTGTCTTAGCTGATATTATGGTCAATGTAATACCAACATAAACACCAATACATGTTTAAACCATTGTAGCACTGCATTGCCTGAATATCATGAGCGATTAGTTGAGACGATAATTTAAGTAAGAAAAGAAAGAGTTGGGAAAAGTTAGAGAAGACAATAAGAGATCTGAAGGCTTGGAAAGGAAACTTTAACTTGGAATTTAAAAGGACAAGAAGAATACTATGAAGACTTGGCAATAAAGATGGTTTGACCACAGATACAAACTAATCAAACAATGTCAACCATTTTCAACCATTTGTCATAACCACTAACGCGGTAATACAATTGTGTCATTCAAACCTTATATACATCTCGTCAATGTGACAGAATATATATGGAACGTTTTTACTTTTTAAAAATTGCCTTTTTTTGTATTGTTCACTGAACATACCTTATCAGTTACTTTAAGATTTCATTTTCTTGCCATTGTAATACGATTTAAAAGAACAGCATGCTAGATCTTAAACAGCCAATGTCATTCGCAGCCAGAATCATTAACACCAATGTCATTCACAGCCCATGTCATTCACAGGCAATGTCATTCACAGCCCATGCCATTCACAGCCCATGTCATACACACCAATGTCATTCACAGCCCATGTCATTTACAGCCCATGTCATTTACAGATAATGTCATTCACAGCCCATGTCATTCACAGGCAATGTCATTGACAGCACATGTCGTTCATGCCAATGTCATTCACAGCCCATGTAATACATAGACAATGTCATTCACAGCCCATGTCATTCACAGACAATGCCATTCAAAGGCAATTCATTTACAGGCAATGTCATTCACAGAAAATGTCATTCTCAGCCCATGTCATTCACAGCCTGTGTCATTCACAGCCCATGTCATTCACAGGCAATGTCATTCACAGGCAATGTCATTCACAGCCAATATAATTCACAGCAATTGTAATTCACAGCCCATGTCATTCACAGCCTGTGTCATTCACAGTCAGTGTCATTCACAGCTTATCTCATTCACAGCTCATGTCATTCACATCAAATGTCATTGTCATTCACAGTCATTATCATTCACAAAAAATGGCATTCACAGCATGTGTCATGCACAGTCACTATCATTCACAGCCTGTGTCATTCAAACCAATGTCAATCACAGCCTGTATCATTCACAACCAATGTCATTCACGGACAGTGTCATTTAAGTCAAAGTCATTAACAGATTGTCTAATTTAGAGCAAATGTAATTTACAGCGAATGTCATTCACAGCCAGTGTCATTCACAGCCAATATCATTCACAGCCAATATCATTCACAGCAAATAGCATTCACAGTCAATGTCATTCACATGCATAGCCCATGTCATTCACTCCAATGTCATTCACATCCCATGTCATTCACATCAAATGTTATTCACAGAAAATGTCATTTACAGCCAATGTCATTCCCAGCTAATGTCATTCACAGCAAATGTCATTCACACCCTGCCTCATTCGCAGCTCATGTCATTCTCAGCCTATGTCATTCACAAGCAATGTCATTCACAGCAAATGCCATTCACAGCCCATGTCATTCACAGCCAATATAATTCACAGCAATTGTAATTCACAGCCCATGTCATTCACAGCCTGTGTCATTCACAGTCAGTGTCATTCACAGCCCATCTCATTCACAGCTCATGTCATTCACATCAAATGTCATTGTCATTCACAGTCATTATCATTCACAAAAAATGTCATACACAGCATGTGTCATGCACAGTCACTATCATTCACAGCCTGTGTCATTCAAACCAATGTCAATCACAGCCTGTATCATTCACAACCAATGTCATTCACGGACTGTGTCATTTACAGTCAAAGTCATTAACAGATTGTCTAATTCAGAGCAAATGTAATTTACAGCGAATGTCATTCACAGCCAGTGTCATTCACAGCCAATATCATTCACAGCCAATATCATTCACAGCAAATAGCATTCACAGCCAATGTAATTCACATTCATAGCCCATGTCATTCACTCCAATGTCATTCACATCCCATGTCATTCACATCAAATGTTATTCACAGAAAATGTCATTTACAGCCAATGTCATTCCCAGCTAATGTCATTCACAGCAAATGTCATTCACACCCTGCCTCATTCGCAGCTCATGTCATTCTCAGCCTATGTCATTCACAAGCAATGTCATTCACAGCAAATGCCATTCACAGCCCATGTCATTCACAGCCTGTGTCATTCACAGAAATGTCAATCACAGCAAATGTCATTTACAACGCATCTCATTCGTAGCTAATGTCATTCACAGCCAATATCATTTACAGCAAATAGAATTCACAGCCAATGTCATTCATATTCACAGCGTGTGCCATCCTGTGTCATTTAGAGCCTTTGTCATTCACAGACAATGTCCTTTACAGCCAATGTTATTCAAAGTCAATGTCAATCAAAGCCTCTGTCGTTCACAGTCAATGTCATAACAGATAATGTCATTCACACCCTGTATCATTGGCTTTCATAAAATTATTTTTTATTGAAAAATTATTAAAGCGAGAAAAGCGTGTGACATGTTTCCTGGGTGGTGGGGAAAGCTTTTAAATGTCATCAAATGTCATGCGTGTGAATAAGTGTGAGTCATTTAAAACATGAACACACGACTATCGTTTGTCTTTCTGTCATCAACTACATCTTTTGTTTTTAAAGGCATTTTTTTTCGTTTATGTCTGATAATTATTGCCACATGTTCTTGTTTCTTTGTAAGCTGTCGACGTTCTGGCAAGAAGCCATTGTTAGTGGCACTATAGCAGCCGCGGCAGTGGCAGCACTAGTGTCAGGATGGCTGACGGACAAGATCGGGAGAAAACTGACCATCATGACGTCAAGTGTGGTGTTCACTGCTGGAGGTCTGCTCATGGGGTCAGCCCCCACCAAAGAGGTTTTGTTGGTTGGGAGAATCGTCGCTGGATTAGGTGTAGGTTAGTTGGTCATAGGTAGAAGTCCTCAGAGAATCGTCGCTGGATTAGGTGTAGGTGAGTTAGTCATAAGTAGAAGTCTTCAGAGAATCGTCGCTGGATTAGGTGTAGGTTAGTTCGTCATAAATAGAAGTCCTCCAGTTGACTTGAAAGCTTCTTATCTTAGCTCAGGCAAAACTTGACATATATCATGAGCGTCACTATAATCTTAGTTCAGAGGAGACTTGAAATATGCCATGAGCGTCGCTATAATCTTAGCTCAGGCAAGACTTGACATATGCCATGAGCTTCGCTATAATCTTAGCTCAGGCAAGACTTGACATATGCCATGAGCTTCGCTATAATCTTAGCTCAGGCAAGACTTGACATATGCCATGAGCGTCGCTATAATCTTAGCTCAGGCAAGACTTGACATATGCCATGAGCGTCGCTATAATCTTAGCTCAGGCAAGACTTGACATATGCAATAAGCGTCGCTATAAAAGGCCAATATAGTGGGACCAAAAGGACAGGCTGACGATAATCCATCCTATTCCTGTCCCAGCATCAGAAATCTTTAAAAAGTGTTGAAGATTTGGCCAGCCATAAAAGTTGTTTGAGTTATGGCTTTCATTAAGAACCACTACAATAGATACACTTTAAACCAGTGTGCATTCCCTTTTAACTGTAAAGTACGAGAATATGTTACTGTTATTTTGTTTGAGAAATAAAGTCCAGAATAATGTTCAAAGGAAACTTGGCTTTCATGACAATAAGATTTGCTGATGTAAACCATTGTGTTCATTGCATTGGTTTCTAACATAGACGTTTCAGATAGTTCATAAATGTGTCTCTTAAATAGCAATAGATGTATAAAAATGTATAGCTTCACAATTTGAATTCTCCGCACCAGGGTTAGCGTCCGTGGTTGTCCCTGTTTATGTGGCAGAGTCGTCTCCCGTCAGTATCAGGGGAAGATTGGTCTCCCTTCATCAGCTGATGATCAACACTGGAATCATTGTGAGCAGTGTGATAGCTGGGGCCTTCTCCTATGTACAGCCTGATGGTTGGAGGTATAAAATCATAGAGCTGGGGCCTTCTCCTATGTACTACCTGATGTTTGGAGGTATTTAGTCATTGAGTAGTGTGATAGCTGGTGCCTTCTCTTATGTACATCCTGCTGGTTGGAGATATATAGTCTTGATTAGTGTGATAAATGGTACCTTCTACAGTGTACAGCCTGATTTTTAGAGGGATATCCTCATATTACTAGTGTGTTATGCACTGCCTTCAATAGTGAGAAATTAATCTCTTATTTTAATTTTATGGCTCGTTCAAACAAAAGACGATACGATATGAGAAATACAATAGCAAAAAATACGACACTCTAAACAGTTGCGAATTACAATAAATAAGATTTATTTAAGTATCAATTAAAAGAAATATAATTAAAAATCATAAACTTACAGAGTAGGATATGTCTTGTACCGGTACAAAGCTAATACAATGTTCCAATTAATAATGTACATTGATGAATGCGAATAAACGCATATGAGTACACACAGACTAATACACTTGTCTTGTGAAATGAAAAATATCTATCCTTGACGAAGTTCCCCCTCTTAATGTACTCTGAACCCTTTATATATGCAGTGTAAGACGCATTACAGAAATTCCTTACACATTGTTTACCTTTCTAGTTCACTCCCGACCTTTCCACAAAATTCTATTTTTAACACATATTAATTATTTTTAGTTGGTAGTGATAGTAAACAAAGGCCAAGATCAAAGGAAATAGGCCACGCCCAATACGAACGCAGCCTAATTTGGGGTCAAACAGAGATCACGGCACGGGGAAAGTGACGTAAACACGTCTTCTACATAACATGGTACCTTCTTCTATGTACAGCCTGATGGTTGGGGGTATATAGTCAAACAGTATAAATTAAAAAAAAGAAAATTAAGGTGATTCACACAGATGCATTAAGAAATTATTTTTACAAATATTCAGTACATTACAAATATCAAATTATGAAAACTGTGTAAATAACATGAGATAAAACTCTTGATTAACTGGTACATTTTTAAAAAAAAATGTTGTAATCGTATGACTAGCAGGCTAGTATTTTTATCAAATATCAGCTGCCTGGCAGGTTAGGATTTCTACCAAATATCAGCTGCCTGGCAGGTTAGAATTTCTATCAAATATCAGCTCTCTATTTCGTATGGAGTGAGATTAAAATGATTGCGAGGACGCTATCATGGACTGCTAGACATAAATGAACCCTCGAAAACCACTTTAAAAAAAAAATAATTAACATGTTAAGGTGAATCACGTTTTCATGATTGTAGCTTATCAAATTGTTTAAGATACAAGTTTACAAATACGACTTAAATTTATGTGCACTACAAATATAATCAACATATAAACACAAAAGTTAGATATTTGCAATTGAAATATGTGAGTTTCATATTAACCATGATAATGGATTGCTACCAACCATCAGGTACATGCTTGGCATTGTAAGTCTCATATTAACCATGGTAACGGGTTGCCTCCATCCATCAGGTACATGCTTGGCATGGCTGCTGTACCTGGCATCCTTCAGTTCATCGGATTCATCTTCCTGCCGGAGTCGCCGCGCTGGCTGGTCAGTAGCGGGAGGATTGAGCAGGCCAAGGACGTCCTTCTGCGCATGCGAGGTGGCGCTGACGTCACGGAGGAGTTGAATGAGATCATTGTCACGGTTGATGAGTCGAACCAAGATGTCGCCGGTGAGGAATGTAGTAATGATGGTTTTTCCAAAAAAACTCTCGTTTTTTTTATAATATAAAAGCTTGTTAAAGTTATTTAAATGAGTAATTTTCAAGTCTTATAATCCAGCATTGGATGTGGATGATATAAGGTTCAAATGAAGATGTTCAAAGTGGAAAGCTGATAGTTTGTTTCTAGTAGGAAAAGATGATTACAAGATAACATAAGCTAGTTTTCAAACGTTGGCTCAGAGGATGACATTTTTTTTAAATCTTACAAACGGGAGAAATTATGCTTTGGTGAATGGCTGACATGAACATAATATTACATTAAATGTTCGTAATGAATATCAAGACTGATTGACGCTATCCATGATAAATGGACAGTTTTTAAGTTCAAGAATGTTAAATGCCTGAATGATAAATGGCATTAATGTTAACTTAATGGCACTGCTGGAGAATTCTACGACTAATGGAAGTCAGTACTGTTGCATGGCATACACATTGACTGTAATGTACGGAGAAAATCCTACATTATTTAGCTCATTCTTCTTATTGTTAAAATCATCTGTTCTGTTCCTTTTCATGACAAGCGGGTGTCCACCATTGGTTGAAGATATTTAAAACACCCCACGTGAGGAGGGCGCTCTTTGTTGGATGTGGCCTGTTGTTCTTCCAGCAGTGGTGTGGCATAAACACTGTCATGTAAGTAGGAAGACATAAACACTGTCATGTAAGTAGGAAGACATAAACACTGTCATGTAAGTAGGAAGACATAAACACTGTCATGTAAGTAGGAAGATATAAACACTGTCATGTAAGTAGGAAGATAGAAACACTGTCATGTAAGTAGGAAGATATAAACACTGTCATGTAAGTAGGAAGATATAAACACTGTCATGTAAGTAGGAAGATATAAACACTGTCATGTAAGTAGGAAGATATAAACACTGTCATGTAACTAGGAAGATATAAATACTGTCATGTAAGTAGGAAGATATAAACACTGTCATGTAACGAGGAAGATAGAAACACTGTCATGTAAGTAGGAAGACATAAACACTGTCATGTAAGTAGGAAGATATAAACACTGTCATGTAAGTAGGAAGATATAAACACTGTCATGTAAGTAGGAAGACATAAACACTGTCATGTAAGTAGGAAGATAGAAACACTGTCATGTAACTAGGAAGATATAAACACTGTCATGTAACTAGGAAGATATAAACACTGTCATGTAACTAGGAAGATAGAAACAATGTCATGTAAGTAGGAAGACATAAACACTGTCATGTAAGTATTAAGATATAAACACTGTCATGTAAGTAGGAATACATAAACACTGTCATGTAAGTAGGAAGATATAAACACTGTCATGTAAGTAGGAAGACATAAACACTGTCATGTAAGTAGGAAGACATAAACACTGTCATGTAAGTAGGAAGACATAAACACTGTCATGTAAGTAGGAAAATATAAACACTGTCATGTAAGTAGGAAGACATAAACACTGTCATGTAAGTAGGAAGATAGAAACACTGTCATGTAAGTAGGAAGATATAAACACTGTCATATAAGTAGGAAGATATAAACACTGTCATGTAACTAGGAAGATAGAAACACTGTCATGTAAGTAGGAAGATAGAAACACTGTCATGTAAGTAGGAAGACATAAACACTGTCATGTAAGTAGGAAGATATACACACTGTCATGTAAGTAGGAAGATATAAACACTGTCATGTAAGTAGGAAGATATAAACACTGTCATGTAAGTAGGAAGATTGGTTGAGGTCAACAGGGGATGATGCCAAGTGTGCTGACCTCACGCCACCGGGTTTCGATATTAAGTCCTTTCCGCGTGCTACGAGAGGTGGCGGCCTCGCTGTCATTTATCGTAGCCACCTACCAGTGACTTTCAACTCCACATTCCCATTCCTGCACACCTCTCTAGAACTTGTTCAGTTCACCCTCAACACGCCCCACACTGTCAACATGTTATGCTTGTACCGTACTCCGCCCAGTAAGAAGAACAAGCTCCTAAACTCCACCTTCCTCTCTGAGCTCCCTGACCTACTTGACTACTGCAACCTGCTCCGTGGAACAAGTGTGATCGTGGGCGACCTTAACGTTCATTATGACGTCCCTACTGATCCCTTTACTAGCAAGGTACTAGACATCCTCACAAGGTTTAGTCTTGTCCAGGGCATTAAGCAGCCCACCTACTATCGCAGCGGCCACATCATCGACTGGGTGGTGTACCGTGATGACGACAACTTGGTGGACAGCTGTACTGTGAGTCATATGCTCTCCTCTGACCATGCAGCGGTGCTCACTACACTCAACGTAGTTCCCCCAAAGAACCCACCTGTCTACAGGACCGTGCGTGACATAAACGCTATAGACAGAGCAGCCTTCAAAGCCGGCATTAAGACAATGCTTCAAGGGCTAGGTGCTGAGCTCAGCGCTCAGCATCTGGACGATGGCCTCCGAGCACTTTTGGACGAGCACGCCCCTCCCATGGCGCGACGTGTCCCGACTGGTCGCTCGTCGCCATGGTATGCAGGCGTTAGTGACCAACTCCGTCTGGCAAAACTCGTGCGAAGACGCGCTGAAAGACGCTGGGTAAAGACTGGACTGAGTGTCGACAGACAGATCTTTTGGACAGCGAAAGATGCGGTGGCAGAGATTGTACAGAGGGCAAAGGATGACTACTGGAGCTCAAAGGTCGAATCCTGTGCATCAACCAAGGCGTTGTTCAGCGCTAGTAACCGTCTCCTTGGCAACAGCAAGAATTTCACCCTCCCTACCGACATTGCACCAGAGCAACTCCCTGACGCCTTTGCGGACTTTTTCATCACCAGGGTGCAAATGATCAGGGAGGAGCTAGACAGCGCGACCCCTACACCTTCCTCACCGTTCTCGGAGGACGTTAGTCAGACAGAATCATTTGATAGTTTTCTGCCTGTGACTGAGGATGAGGTGAGGCGAGTCATCATCAGGTCTGCTCCCAAGTCTTGTGCCCTCGATCCTATCCCCGTCCCACTGCTTGTAGAATGCCTTGACGTCCTCCTCCCAGCACTCACCTCCATCATAAATTCTTCGATTCTCTCTGGCATATTCCCTCCCATTTTTAAACGGTCGATTGTCCTGCCCCTCCTAAAGAAACCCTCACTTGATCCAAACACACTCAAGAATTACCGCCCCGTCAGCAACCTCTCCTTTCTCTCAAAAATCATAGAAAAACTCATACTCTCTCAGCTCTCTGGCTATCTTCATTCTCGCAATCTCTATCCTTCCTCTCAGTCCGCCTACCGACTTGGTCATAGCACAGAAACAGCACTGGTCCGAGTCATGAGTGACCTCCTGCGCGCGATGGACGATGGCAAACTCTCTATTCTCACTCTGTTAGATCTCTCTGCTGCATTTGATACCATTGACCACCAGATTCTTCTTGACCGCCTTCATCTTTCTTTCGGACTTACTGGCTCAGCTTTAAACTGGTTTCAATCATATCTTTCTGACAGAACTCAAAAAGTCTCTATTTCCAACCGCTCTTCCAAACCTTCAGCCCTGTCTATTGGAGTTCCTCAAGGATCGGTCCTTGGGCCGGTCCTTTTCATCCTCTACACTAAACCTCTATCATCTCTCATTAGCCACCACTCAGTTTCCAGTCAATCCTTTGCTGATGACACTCAAATCAGTGACTCTTGCTTTCCTGATCAACTTGATGCCACAATCCTTCGCATACAGGAGTGCGTGGACGATGTAAAGCGTTGGATGACTTGCAACAAACTGAAGCTAAATGATGATAAAACGGAAATCCTTCTCATCCACTCTCAAAACAAACCTCTCCCTCCATTCGCTCCTTCTTCTATATCTATTGGCAACTCTGACATCACACTCTCTCCCTCTGCCAGAAACCTTGGAGTCACGCTTACGGACACCCTCTCCATGGACAAACATGTCACGAATATATGCAGATCAGCATATAACGAAATTAGAAAAATCAGCACCATTAGACACCTCCTCTCCTTTGATGCCACAAAAACTCTCGTCTCTTCACTCATTCTTTCAAAATTTGACTACTGTAACATTCTTCTCTCAGGCATTCCTCAACACCACATAGAAAAACTTCAGAAGGCACAGAACTCAGCATGCAGACTCATTTTTAAATTAAAGAAACATGACCACATTCAACCACACATGCGGCAACTCCACTGGCTTCCAATATCCTCTCGCATCAAATACAAGTCTTCCAATCTTTGCTTCAACTCGTTCACTGACCCTCACTTTCCTGTCTATCTCTCTGAACTGTTGCTTCCTTACATCCCCACAAGACAACTACGTTCTTCCATTGACAGTAGAACCCTCTCAATCCCAAGAACTAAAACTAAGACCATCGGTGAACGCTCCTTCTGCTTCCATGGGCCCACGTTCTGGAACCAGCTCCCCTTCCATATACGTCATAGTGAAACCTCGTCCATTTTCAAAAAGTCCCTTAAAACTCATCTGTTTAGGTCCGCCTATGACCTGTGATGCATCCTCCTTGCCCTACCTAATTTTCTGTTTCGGTTTAATCCTGAAGTGTCAAAGTGTCCTCTTTTTATAGCCATTTTCATTGTTTCTATAGAATAGTAGTTTCTATCCTAGTGTCTCATTTGTATTTACTTAATTTACTTGTTTTAATAATTGTAAAGCGCTTAGAGCTTTATGATAAGCGCTATATAAAAATGCCTAAATAAATAAATAAATAAATATAAACACTGTCATGTAAGTAGGAAGACATAAACACTGTCATGTAAGTAGGAAGATATAAACACTGTCATGTAAGTAGGAAGATATAAACACTGTCATGTAAGTAGGAAGATATTCTTTTCGGAATCATAGACACTATCATACCAGTGATGTAGAAAGGGGGCGGAAGGGAGCGGTCAGCCCCGACGGCACTAAACCTGTCCACTCTACTGTAGAATACAAAAATAGACTAATCAACCGTCACAAAATTAACCTATTTTATATCACATAGATTGTACGATCCATGTACAGATATTTGTCCCTGATTTTCTTACTGTACAGTTTGTGTATAATTCTTCTGAACAGCTACTACAGTGGAACTGTGCTGAAAATGGCGGGATTTCCAATTAAGTATGCTGTTTGGCTGGTGACTGTGCCTAATTTCATCAACTTCCTCTCATCATTCATTGGCTTGTACTTGGTCGAAAAAATTGGCCGGCGTCCGCTTCTCATCATTAGTTTGGCTGGTGAGCTAAGCAATGTAGAGTTCTCGTTGTTTATTTGTTAGTGCCTCTGCATAGACACCATATTGATCTTCAAGAAATATACTTAACACTAGCCATTATGTGGTAGTAAACCATTGATTTCATTATTTGTTATAACGTTTAAATACTCGAATTTTTTTTGTTTAAGCTGTTCATCTGTTACCACGACTTTATAGATTGAAATTACTTCACTGCAACTTAAATGCAAAAGAAATAGTTAAATTCAAATTTCCAAGTGGTGTTTAAAATAAAAGAGTTACAGATTTTCTAAAAGTAATACTCATCCTTTCGAATAATTCCCGAGAAAAAATGTTTTGAGTAAGCAATTTAACTTGATTCTCAAAATTGGCACCCTAGCAAGACGTACACCATAGCAAGACGTACACCCTAGCAAGACGTACACCCTAGCAAGGCTTACATCCTATAAATGCCTTTCAACAACTAGTTTAAAAATAAATCAGCTTTATTTTTATAAACCTAATACGATAAATTTTAAAAATACACAACCGTCAGACCAGGGGCTTAGATAAAAATAATAAAATTAGTTTAACATAACATATACTTAAATACAACGCTCTTCCGCCCTACCCCCCCCCCCTTCGTTCCTGGCGGTTAGGTACCCTGGTTGGTTTGATCATCCTGGCAGTCGGGTTCCAGTTCGCTGAAGAGAATCCTCCAAGTCTGAACATGTCTGTGACAGAGACGTATGACAACGGGACGTTGATAGGAGAATGTTTCTATAAACACAAGTGAGTTTGGTGGATTGTGGAATTCTTTTTTTTTTTTTTTAAACATCGTTTATTCTGCTTTCAGGTGCGTTTTATTATAAGTTATGTCCTTAAAGTTAGTGGATTGTCAAAGGAAAACCTATTGTAGCTTATACTGTCGCGTATTATACCAACGACAGTTATTATTATTATTTGTTATTTTCTGGTAAGCAACTAAAAATTAAAAATAAATGAAATAATTTATATTTAAAATATACCAAGCAATTTAGTTTTGAATGATTTTGTTTCAATCATTAAATTCCGAAAAGCTTGAATATTAGATTAAACAAACTTTCTACATAAGACACGTCAAAATTATAAAATTTACACAACCCAATAAATGTAAATGACATTATAATTGTGTAATGTTAAGTTCATTGAGTTATTCTGTCCCTAATTAAGCTGCAACGAAAAACTCTTAATACTTTAATTGTGTACATGTCTGACGAGTTGACGATGACGTCAAACGGAGATTGAATGTTGTCTTTTTAAAAATAAGTTTTACTTTTTCTTCAGATCTTGCGCCGATTGTGTCAAAGACAACTCTTGTGGCTACTGCTATTCCAATGATAATGACGGGACTTGTCTCCCTTCTATTGGTGAAGACCGCTCTACCGTGGGGAGATGTAACTCTTCCAGCAGTACAGAAACGTACTTTAAATGGGCTTACGAGTATTGCCCCAGTGACTTTACGTGGATTGCCCTAATTGGGATGGCCGTCTTCGTCTTTGCCTTTGCCCCAGGTATAATACTCTGGAATACATGAACCTGCCATTCATAGCAAAATGAACAAAACCACGCCTCTCTTAGAATGATTGTATTTATTTTTAACAGGCAGCAAGAACTTCCAAGATGTTCAGTATACTAAAATGCAAGTCTTACTTAGACTTGTATGAATAAAAACATAGATAACTCCCGGGATCGGCCCTACTGTTGCCGGCGCCCCGGGCAAGCTTAACTTTGGCGCCCCTATCAACAGTTAGCCTACCGATGACATTGTTCTTCTAGCCTCTTAGATCAGCAGATCTTTTATTCCATGTTCTATTGCTCTTCAATGCATTGATTTTTTAAAAATATTTTGGAAGATCGTTGATGGCACCCTAAGCACAAGGCGCCCTGAGCAACTGCCCGAGATGCCGGTGCCTTGTGGCGGAACTAAAAATATCACCAATTTAAAATCACCATATCACAATGCTTAACCCAAAAAATTAAAAGTTGATTTAAAGTTGAAGTTTTTCCATAATTCAATCAATTATTAGATTTAAAGCACAAGTAATGCGAGCTACTTAAACAAACGAGCTTTTAAAACACATGAGCTATCCACACATTCGAGCTACTCAAACATGCGATCTACTGAAACATGTGAGCTACTCAAACATACGAGCTTCTCAAACATGCAAGCTACTCAATCATACGAGCTACTCAGACATATGAGCTACTCAAACATGCAAGCATCTCAAACATGCGAGCTACTCAAACATGCGAGCTACTCAAATATGCAAGCAATTCAAACATGCGAGCTACTTAAACATACGAGCTACTCAAACATTCGAGCTACTCAAACATTCGAGCTACTCAAACATTCGAGCTACTTAAACATACGAGCTACTCAAACATTCGAGCTACTCAAACATTCGAGCTACTCAAACATTCGAGCTACTTAAACATTCGAGCTACTCAAACATTCGAGCTACTCAAACATTCGAGCTACTCAAACATACGAGCTACTCAAACATTCGAGCTACTCAAACATACGAGCTACTCAAACATTCGAGCTACTCAAACTTACGAGCTACTCAAACATTCGAGCTACTCAAACATACGAGCTACTCAAACATGCGGGCTACTCAAACATACGAGCTACTCAAACATGCGAGCTACTCAAACATACGAGCTACTCAAACATTCGAGCTACTCAAACATACGAGCTACTCAAACATTCGAGCTACTCAAACATTCGAGCAACTCAAACATACGAGCTACTCAAACATTCGAGCTACTCAAACATTCGAGCTACTCAAACATGCGAACTACTCAAACATTCGAGCTACTCAAACATACGAGCTACTCAAACATTCGAGCTACTCAAACATTCGAGCTACTCAAACATACGAGCTACTCAAACATTCGAGCTACATTCGATCTACTCAAACATTCGAGCTACTCAAACATGCGGGCTACTTAAACGTACGAGCTACTCAAACATACGAGCTACTTAAACATGCCTGCTTCTCAAACATGCAAGCTACACGTGTCTTTTATAGTTTGATAAGAGTTCTCCGGAAAATTTACGCACTAAGAAAGGATGAACATGTAAGAAACAACCACAATTTGTACAGACTATATCAGGATACCACACTAGTAGCAGAAATATATAAAAGGGTGGGGTACGCTGGACAGGACTCTTAGATACTAGGCAAAATGACAGAGGCGTGATGAGGGTGTACTACCAATACCCAGAGGAAAACGGGTAGACATAGGCTTAGATGAATTAATGATGTGGAGAGGGATCTACAGCAACTTGGAATCCAAGCATGGACAAAAAAAAAAGGATCAGTTAGGTCTGACTGGAAGGATGTGGTGAGGCAGGCCAAACCCCTACATGGGCTGTAGTGCCACAGGATAGATGGATGGTTTGAGTGGAAGGATGTGGTGAGGTTTATTTCTATACGCCATAGGTTTGTAAGCTCTCCACTTCTCTCCCCCCCCCCCCGTCTTCTGTGTAGGCCTCGGCCCCATGCCATGGACGATCAACTCTGAGATCTACCCGCTGTGGGCGCGCAGCACATGTAACTCACTCAGCGCGTGCACGGCCTGGGTGTGTAACCTGATCATCTCATTCACCTTTCTCACCATGACAGAGCACATCAGTATACACGGTAAGAATTCACAATGTTCTGGGTGGGTGTGAAACTATATAAGGTATGTGTCAATGTGAACTAGATATGTGTCAATGTGAACAAGATATGTGTCAATGTGAACAAGATATGTGTCAATGTGAACAATATATGTGTCAATGCATACATTATATGTGTCAATGCGTACAATATATGTGTCAATGCGTACAATATATGTGTCAATGCGTACAAAATATGTGTCAATGCGTACAAAATATGTGTCAATGCGTACAATATATGTGTCAATGCGTATATGTGTTAATGTAAATATGTAAAGATGGGAATGTTTACACGATAAGTTCTTCTTATTCCAATTGGGACCAGGACTCTCTCGAGCGTTGATGGTCCCGTCGTGATGACCTTGCAATGTAGGTCCATATAAAGCAGTCTGTGTCATTTGTGATTTCCACACACTGTAGGTCCATTTAATGATGTCTATGTTAGTCGTGATGACCATGCACTGTAGGTCCATTTAATGATGTCTGTGTTAGTCGTGATGACCATGCACTGTAGGTCCATTTAATGATGTCTGTGTTAGTCGTGATGACCATGCACTGTAGGTCCATTTAATGATGCCTGTGTTAGTCGTGATGACCATGCACTGTAGGTCCATTTAATGATGTATGTGTTAGTCGTGATGACCATGCACTGTAGGTCCATTTAATGATGCCTGTGTTAGTCGTGATGACCATGCACTGTAGGTCCATTTAATGATGTCTGTGTTAGTCGTGATGACCATGCACTGTAGGTCCATTTAATGATGTCTGTGTTAGTCGTGATGACCATGCATTGTAGGTCCATTTAATGATGTCTGTGTTAGTCGTGATGACCATGCATTGTAGGTCCATTTAATGCGATATAGGTCTTTCATGTATTAATGGTGTATGAATACCTTTGTAAAGGATGGACACTTTTTTTTCCAGAGAAAATTTTAAACTTGTTCCAAAATATTAATCTTGGTATCACCAATGAGGTTCTAAAATACAAGGCCTTAAACCTGTCAGGCCCATTGAATAATATATCAGCTTTGTGTGTAAAATTATTTTGTGGATTACAATAATACACTGTAGATCTGAAAACGTGCACATGTTGTAATTGAATGTGCACATGTTTTATTTGAATGTGCACTCAGTGATCTCCTGTGTGTCCAAGGAGTTCATGATGTAAAATAGATTCAACTTTAATCCCCCCCTCCCCCCCCCCCAGGAACATTCTGGCTGTTTGCTGCATTCACCGTTGTGGGCGTGGTCTTCATGGTCGTTCTGTTGCCTGAGACTCGAAACAAAACCCTGGAGGAGGTGGAACAGCTGTTCATGACGTCACGCCAAAAACGACAACTGGCCGAGAAGAGACTGAAACCAAAGCGCGACGACATTCAACAGGTCGAGATTCAACTCAAGGCTTCTTAATTTCATTGCTTTTATCAAATATACATATTTTTTTACTTTGTTTTTCTGAGAGTTAAATCAAGTGTTCTTAATAAATATTGTGGTACAAATAAATTCTAATATAGAATACTATTGATGACATATTATGTTCAAATTTTTACGCCCGATGACAGGGCATACAGGGCATTTATGGAAGACGCCCTTGATATTTAGCGATGCAGAAGAGAGTCTGTCTGTGTCTCTGCCTTCAGATCTCCTATCTCATCATTGATGTCAATCATGTGTGGATCTTGAACTGGTCAGTTTTTAGGCTGTCGGGAACGCTGTGTGATGACGTCAGTAAAATGCAGGAGAGGGTCTTGTGTGGATGACCTCACCCACAGGCAGACGGTCTCCTTGCCATGGTCTGTGGAGAAGGAAGGAATTCTCTTGACACATTCAAAGAAGAACATCTTCATTTTTCAATGCATCCAACTATGAATGTGGAAGCGTCAATTTTATTTTTGTTATGAACTTTGTTAATTTTTTTAATAAATTAACTTGTTCTTTTTTGTCATCAGACTTAGACAAAAATCAAAGTTGTTAATTGCTATGAAAATATGCAAGACTTTGTCAGAATTTTAAAAAAAAGTGTTGGACAGAGAAAAGCTTTAAAATAGATTAATAAGATACGAACAAATTGTGTCAATATAACAATATAAGTTATGCTTTAATAATAATTATACATTATACACAGGTAAACGTTTCGGCACATGCCTTCATCAGTACAAATAAAAAAACACATTTAAATAAGTATAAATTAAATTTACATAATATAATTATACATATCCTAACTAAAAAAGAAAAAAATGGAGAATTTAAGAAAATTTGTGTTTTAACATTGTAGCCAAGGCGAAGTCTTAAAATATGAATTGGGAAATGGGCATTCGTCATAGAGATTGACGATGAGACCAATGAGGTAGGCAATGTGGTAGGCAATGTGGTAGGCAATGTTGTAGGAAATATACTAGGAAATTTGGTAGGAAATCTGGTAGGAATTGTGATAGGAAATCTGGTAGGAAATGCGGTAGGCAATCTGGTAGGAAATGTGGCAGGCAATCTGGTAGGCAATGAGGTACGCAACTTTTTGTATTGCCTTTATCCCAACCCATATAAAAAGGAATGCTTTTTGTTTTGTATGTGATACATGATAAAATGTTGCATAAAACACCTGTGCACCGAACTTCTATCTGGTTGAGCCATTGTTACCTACCTGTGGTACCTACGTGCTGCTACCTACCTGTGGTACCTACGTGCTGCTACCTACCTGTGATACCTACGTGCTGCTACCTACCTGTGATACCTACGTGCTGCTACCTACCTGTGGTACCTACGTACTGCTACCTACCTGTGGTACCTACTGCTGCTACCTACCTGTGGTACCTACGTGCTGCTACCTATCTGTGATATAAACGTATTGCTACCTACCTGTGGTACATGCGTGGTAGAGATTCTAAATTGACTGGCTGAAAGATCTGAAACAAAAAACAGACATAAGAATGTCGTTAGCGGCCGTTCGCAAAATACGTCACGCTCAGGGGGGAGGGGAGGGAGGGGGTCGGGTTGAGAATTCGTGACACTTTGTGACAGGAGATAGAGTGGGAGGGGGGGTCTAAAAAGGTCATGTTTAGTGTGATGTAAATTACGAACGACCCTTTATTAAAAAAAAATACGGAAAAAGGAATGCATCCCATTATTGTTGAAGAATTTAGACATGAAATAAAACACATTCAGATATGTAATAAAACACATTCAGATATGTAATAAAACACATTCAGATATGTAATAAAACACATTCAGATACGTAATAAAACACATTCAGATATGTAATAAAACACATTCAGATATGTAATAAAACACATTCAGATACATAATAAAACACATTCACATATGTAATAAAACACATTCAGATATGTAATAAGACACATTCAGATAAGTAAAATTGCCCACCCTGCTAATTAAAGCTCTCTTGTGCGACTAATAGCTACAATCACTAAATACAGTTGTCATAAACAAATACATGTTTTAATTGTTTATCACAGTGATAATCTCTTATTTGGCCAAAGACAATGTCAAACAAGCCCTTAAGATAAGTGGACGTTCTGATCTGCACGTATCTTGAAATCATTTATGTGTATTTGAATGTTTTAAGAATAAAAAGATAATTAAAATTGCATTGTTCATTCTAGTTAATATAATCTTCAAATATAAAAATTGTTATGTTAAATCTACTTACTATAATCTGTAAACATTAAAATGGCTTGTGTTGATTGGTAAGAAGGAATAGAATCACAGAATGTAGAATAATTGAAGGTGGGGACATGGCAAATAGTGAATTAAAGGAAAGATCAGAGTTTGCTAGTGATGAGAGACGGTAATAAACCAGACTTACAGGTATGGAGAACGTGCTCGGAGATTCAAACTGGAACCTGTTACTCGCACTGCGTCTGCCTCCAGTAGACCCAGCCTGACACGTCTCCGTGCTATGACTGGAGCGTGATGACGACACTCTGGCTGCAGACTTGAGTTCGCCGTCTGAAGATGTTTTAGCTAAGTGAACTTTTATGGGTCCATATTTTCTCCTTTTAATCTCCTTCTCCAGCTGAGCTGAGTCCAGAAGAAAAAAGCCACAATTACACCCTCAATTAAAATATACGACTTTAACAAATACAGGATTTGGTATTGATCCAAAATGAAAAAAAAATTCAGTATGTTTTATATAAGTGGCTACCACAAAGCTCCCAAACTCTTTGTTTAAAGGATGACTTAATTTAGAGAGACACTCCCTCAGATGGTACTGGCAGTTCTAGGGTCACGAGACACTCCCTCAGATGGTACGGGCAATTCTAGGGTCACGAGACACTCCCTCAGATGGTACGGGCAATTCTAGGGTCACGAGACACTCCCTCAGATGGTACTGGTAGTTCTAGGGTCACGAGACACTCCCTCAGATGGTACGGGCAATTCTAGGGTCACGAGACACTCCCTCAGATGGTACTGGTAGTTCTAGGGTCACGAGACACTCCCTCTGATGTTACTGGCAGTTCTAGGGTCATCTTAACATTCCGATTATCTGGATTCTTTTTTCCATCTAAAATGTAACGTATGCATATACCTTAGTGCACTTCTTGGCCGGTCTTACCGATGTGCGGTCTTACCCGTAAACAACTGTGCTGTTCTGTGACAGTTACCCCTGCAGGCTAGCGAAGGTCTCGACCTTACTTACCCATGAATTCCTGAGAAGTTTTTGGTCTGGCGTTGTATCTCCGTATGGCCTCTCCGTAGTCTCTGCGTCTCTTGGGCGCCAGATTGTTGGTGTCTGACGAAGGGGTCCCACAACGGAAAGGGTCCACTCGTGAAATAAAAGATGGCGCCATACGGGAATTACTAGAACTCAAACCATGAAGTCCAGATGCTAAGTTTTGTAAAAGGGAAACATTCAAAGAGAGTTAGATATGAAGTAGCGTAAACAGTAGATAACTAAGATAAAGAGCAGAGGTTTACATTTAATAAAAATGCAATAATTATTATTGGTTAAGTAAATTCCCCACATTGAAATGACATTTTACATTGCAAGTGGGGATAACCTTACCGATCAGTTGCTTGCATGGCTTATCAGGTGTTAAGTCTATGACGGTAATTCTGTGAGGGACTAGAAGTGTGTACAACATCCTATATACAGAATAAAATATATATTCGTTATTTACTTACTAGTATACAATAGACTGCATACAACATAGCGAAGTTATATACATTAAACTGCGTACAACATGGCGGAGCTGATATCCAACACACTGCATACAACATAGCGGAGCTGATATCCAAAACACTGCATACAACATAGCGGAGCTGATATCCAACACACTGCATACAACATAGCGGAGCTGATACACAGCGTTTTGCATGCAACATAGCGGTATAAAGCTTTCATTCTTAAAGTGAAGGGTATACAAGTTCTTCTCAAACGTTCGGTTTGACGGACCGGCACAAATGATCCACACTGCAGTTTTGGCTGGTGCCCAGTCAGTGGCGTAGCAAGAGTTATTAAAACCGAGGGAAGGCAAAAAATATTTCTGCCAACGTCAACGAAAAATGTCTGAAGTTGGCCAAAAATGTCGCCCCTCTATTTCATGAAAAAAAAAGTAGAGCAAAGCGCTAACTTTCTCTCCACCCCCTTGGTACGCCCCTGTGCCCAGTTAATTGGGTGTTCCTTTCATACATCTTTAAAAAAAAGCTTTCACTTTCTGTGGCCCAATTGCTGAGAGATGACGCACTTGCGCCATTCTGTGGGACCATTGGCTGAGAGACGACGCACTTTCGCCATTCTATGGGACCATGGGCTGAGTGATGACGAACTGGTGCCATTCTGTGGGACCATTCAATGAGAGATGACGCACTTGCGCCATTCTGTGGGACCATTGGCTGAGTGATGACACACTGGTGCCATTCTGTGGGACCATTGGCTGAGAGACGACGCACTTTCGCCATTCTGTGGGACCATTGGCTGAGAGATGACGCACTGGTGCCATTCTGTGGGACCATTGGCTGAGAGATGACGCACTGGTGCCATTCTGTGGGACCATTGGCTGAGAGATGACGCACTGGTGCCATTCTGTGGGACCATTGGCTGAGAGATGACGCACTGGTGCCATTCTGTGGGACCATTGGCTGAGAGATGACGCACTGGTGCCATTCTGTGGGACCATTGGCTGAGAGATGACGCACTGGTGCCATTCTGTGGCCAACACTTTAAATAGCAATAGAGTCTACAACATTCTGGTAACAACTTCTGTTTTGTATAAGAAGAAACTACATAAATACAATTCGTTTTGTATTCCAACTTAAAGATAACCAATGAACAAGTCTGAGTCTGAGCGCATGCTATTTCTCAACATGAGGAATCTAAATGGCTGACCTTTCAATCGGCTTTTATAAACGCCCCGTGGATTATGTAGGCAATGTAGGTCAGGTACTGAGTGCACTTACCTGTCATAGAATTCCAGACTATAAGGGTGACTAAAGCTGTAAACGTTGCTGTATGACTGCGACTCCGGATTAATCTTTGGAGCCTTAAAACAAGAGGGCAAAAGATTTTGTTTCAAATAATTAAATATCCCAACATTATTTTTTAAGTCTACTGTAGTGTAAAAAATAGCAATGACTTGTTAAGATAGTTTAAAATTCATGTATATATTTCCCTTATAAAAATATGACAATATGCGTCATACTCAGTTACCAGGAGCCAGAGAAGGGCCAGTGTATCTAAAACCTTTCTGTCACGCAGGACATGCATTTTTTCAACAAGAGCTTGCTGACTCCAATGTTAGCATTTCAGAACACAAGAAAAAAGCTCTAGGGTTTATTTGTCTTTTTTAAGTTTATTGAATTCTAAGGGACAGGCAAAGACTTACAGAACAGTTCGCCATGGCCTTTTTAACAAGAAGACATCCACCATGATTAGGTTGAATGGTCAGTGCATGGTCCAGGTCCTGTAAGGCCTTTACAACATTTAAAAAAAATTTAGTTTAGGCATATTTTAAAAAGTGCCTACGATAGTTTGCATTGCATCATGACTTACCGGACAATGGTAACGGACGATATCTGCAAACAGGATTTGGCATTTGAACAACTTTAATGAACAACGTTAAATCGTAATGTTTCAGCATTGACAGTTAATAAATTGACCTAGTTAATAAATTGACCTAGTTAACTTTAAATAGATCTAAAGGAAGTCATTTCCTAAACCCGAGGACAATTTTAGATACTCTTTCTATCGCTTTTAATGATACAAAGTGATGCTAGTTCTTTTAATTGTCACATTCACGTCATTTATTTTCTGTCATTATTTTTTAAGTACTAACAAAAACAATACAACACTAATGTGTTGCGTAATGTTTTCAACACATAAAATCAAGTACCTGTTTTTCTTCTTTCCTGGAGTTTCTGACCAGCGCTCGGACGCAGTATACGTCCTGGAAAACAAAAAAAGTTGATGGACTTTATGTAGTTCTTGGCTAATTTATAATAATATATAATTTTAGAATTATTAGTTTCATAATATTATCAGAGGATTTGGGTAACTAGCTTTTTTGATCACTTCCTGTTGATTTGTTTCCCTATCAGAATCCAGTTTTAGAATTTGGTGAGGTTTGTTTTAGGTGAGAGTTAATTGTTGGACCTCAAAGTAATCAAAGCTCTTAAATTAATTTCGCCAAATACCATATTGTATTGTTATAGTAGATGCCGCGAGTAGTTGACCTATGCTTTACTGGTGTGTCAGGGGGGATATTTGAAATGGTACATGTAAACATTTTATTAAATCAATAACTACTTACACATGTTTTGTAACTGATCAAATCATTGGGGAAACAAAAAGGGGTGGGGTGGGGTTAATTGTCAAGCCTTTCAACTACACAGTCTAAATAAAAGAATATTTATTTAACAAACAATTTTGGCTTACGGGATTTGTGTTGTCCAGAGCTGCGAGAGCCTCGATGTCTTTTAGTGCACTGGTCAGTTGACCTGTGGAGGAGAGTAGAACGCAATATAAAAGCATTTATTGTTGAGTTGACCTGTGGAGGAGAGTAGAACGCAATATAAAAGCATTTATTGTTGAGTTGACCTGTGGAGGAGAGTAGAACGCAATATAAAAGCATTAATTGTTGAGTTGACCTGTGGAGGAGAGTAGAACGCAATATAAAAGCATTAATTGTTGAGTTGACCTGTGGAGGAAAGTAGAACGCAATATAAAAGCATTAATTGTTTAGTTGACCTGTGGAGGAAAGTAGAACGCAATATAAAAGCATTAATTGTTTAGTTGACCTGTGGAGGAAAGTAGAACGCAATATAAATGCAATCACTCATTAGTTGACACGTGGAGGAAAGCACAACGAAATATTAATGCAATCTCTAATGCACAGAAGTAGAGGGGTGGTGGATTCGGTTGACAGAATCCATAATTCAGAAGCAATAGATCGTTCCCGAAAAGCTCTGATTAATGCGATATGTCTTGTCAAGGAGAAGGGCCGGAGAACTTGTTAAGATATTACCCAAGAGTATATTTCAAAGCCCCGATTCTGTCCCCTCGAGGAATAAAAGATAGACCATTAAAATTCGAGATAGCTTATGGAATCTTTTTCTATAATGCTGGTATTGCGCTGTAATACGAAATTACACAATTCTACTGAGAAGTTACGTATTCACTGTTACAAGATCAAACTATTGGTAGATATAAATGATGCTTATGAAATATTGACTGAATAAGTTTATTAATAGAAAATCTTTATTAACAAACTACTTAATGTGTCTGAGAAATGACGACTTTTGGCATAGAATAAAAGGAAAACAGTCGACTCAGCCAACATGGTGTGCGGTTATGCTAGATGGCGAGCCACTAATGACCATGATATGCTGTTTGTAATTAGCATATGAACAAGAGAAGCTATGAACACGTGAAGGGTTGTGTATGCTCTTACCTGTCTGACAGTGAGCAGACAAGTGTTGTGTATGTTCTTAACTGTCTGACAGTAAGCAGACAAGAGTTGTGTATGTTCTTAGCTGTCTGACAGTAAGCAGACAGGGGTTGTGTAATGTTCTTACCTGTCTAACAGTAAGCAGACAAGGGTTTTGTATGTTCTTATCTGTCTGACAGTAAGCAGACAAGGGTTGTGTATGTTCTTATCTGTCTGACAGTAAGCAGACAAGGGTTGTGTATGTTCTTATCTGTCTGACAGTAAGCAGACAAGGGTTGTGTATGTTCTTATCTGTCTGACAATAAGCAGACAAGGGTTGTGTATGTTCTTATATGTCTGACAGTAATCAGACAAGGGTTGTGTATGTTCTTACATGTCTGACAGAAAGCAGACAAGGGTTGTGTATGTTCTTACCTGCCTGACAGTAGGCAAACGCTCGCCGTGAGTACAGAGGGGTCAGCATGCATGAGTTGGTCATACAGCCTGCCTGACATCCACCCTGTTTGTACACGTGAAGAAATATCAAGCTGTATTACGTAATTAGACACTAATCATGTGATAGAATTATAAAGTAATTAGACACTAATCATGTGATATAATTATAACGTAATTAGACACTAATCATGTGATAGAATTATAACGTAATTAGACACTAATCATGTGATAGAATCATAACGTAATTAGACACTAATCATGTGATAGAATTATAAAGTAATTAGACACTAATCATGCGATAGAATTATAAAGTAATTAGACACTAATCATGTGATAGAATTATAAAGTAATTAAACACTAATCATGTGATAGAAGTATAACGTAATTAGACACTAATCATGTGATAGAATTATAACGTCATATTAATCATGTGTTAGAATTATAATGTAATTTTTTTCTGGCATCTGTCGGTCACCATGTGATAATGGTGAAGACTTCGCAAGATGAAATCCACAAGGATTATAAACTGGAAAAACTGCAAATCGCCTCTCTCCATGATGCCGCTGGATAACCAATGGAACATCATGTGGATGATACAGCTTGGCGCCACTGGCGTAGCAGCAGTTGTCAAAATGTTTCATCATATCAATTTTATCCGCCTACGGGACTCCTCTTCGGGTTTGAATTCAGAGTTTCCTTCTCTTAGATGAGTTGCAATCCAAGGTTAACGAGTACCATCCACCCGAAGTGCTTGAGATGTTTTTGCTTGGCTCTGCTTTTAGCCAGACCACAAACTTGAGATTTTTTCATATTAGACCATTCTGCCACCCAATAATGTAATAAGAAAATAATAATCACTAACTTATCTTCCGTCATGTCATGTTTTTCTTAGTTCTCGTAATTCACCCATGCGAACATACTGTTTCTATAAACCTAATGAGTGGCGCGTGACATATTGACCACTAGGGTGATCAAATAGCAGAGTTTGTGTGTCCGCACATGGCTATGTCACCTGGTTCCCAATGGTTGCACAGATGCAGAGTGAACAAGACCCGGACATTATGAAGCGCCCATGAAGTTAACAATCAAAAAAACAAAAACACAATATACATGACTGTGTTAAGAGAACAGCCAGATGAAACCATTACAATAATTAGAAACCAGACTTTTGAAAAAGTAAATCAAGCCAAGTATGTAGGATTTTTATTAAATAAAAGAAACGAATCACTAACAGACATGAAAGAAAGAATATCGGCCGGAAACAGGCAAACTTCAGTAGTCAGAAAATACTCTAATAGTAAAGATATTACAAGAAAAACCAAGAAACTATTTATAAAACTGTACTCAGACCAGTTGTAACATATGCACGTGAAACTTGGACCTTAGCAAAAGGGACAGAGAACCTATTAAACAAATGGGAAAGAAAAGTTCTCCGGTAAATATATGGATTAACAAAGGATGACTATGGATGACTACGAACCAACCAGGTATTGTATAGACTATATCAGGATTACACGATAGTAGCAGAGATTTAAAAAAAGTGGGTAGGCTACGCTGGGCATGACGTTAAGAGAGAATGCCAATAGACGGAGGATTGAAAAGGGTGCATCATTAAAACCCTAGTGGAGAACGACACAAAGGCAGACATTCGCTCAGACGGATGGTAATGTGGAAAAAGATCTACAACAGCTGGGAATCCAAGCATTGACAAGTAAAGCATTAATTAGGTCTGAGTGGAAGGGAGTAGTAAGCCAGGCAAAAGCTTTCATGTGCTGTAGTGCCACAGGGATGGATGGTCTGAGTGGAACAATGGGGTGAGGCAGGCAAAAGCCTACATGGGCTGTATCACCACAGGTATGGGTGATTGATGGTGCTGTGTTGTGACATAAGTTTTAGCATTTAATAAAAAAAAAACTAAAGGTTCTCTACCTTTGGTACGGAGATGGCGTTGATGGCCTGTGTGTAGTGACTGGCTGACTGCTTGTGTGCTCCCATCCTTTGTAAGGCTAGGCCCATGTGGAAGTGGACTTCATACAACTGTAATCAATGGAAGAACTCGAAAAATAGATTTGTGTTGTTTGTTTAGACTGGACGTATGAGACATTTTCAACGAATGTATGTCTACTGACTTGTTGTACTGCCTTGTTATACTGACTTGTTGTACTGACTTATACTGATTTGTTGTACTGGTTTGTTGTACTGGCCTGCTGTACTGGATTGTTGTACTGACTTGCTGTACTGGTTTGTTGTATTGGCCTGCTGTAGTGCCTTGTTGTACTGATTTGTTGTTTATGACTTGTTGTACTGGTTTGTTGTACTGGACTGCTGTGCTGACTTGTTATACTGATTTGTTCTACTGCCTTGTTGTACTGACTTGTTGTACTGATTTTTTGTAATGGTTTGTTGTACTGGCCTGCTGTACTGGATTGTTGTACTGACTTGTTGTACTGGTTTGTTGTATTGGCCTGCTGTACTGACTTGTTATACTGACTTGTTGTACTGCCTTGTTGTACTGACTTGTTGTACTGATTTTTTGTGCTGGTTTGTTGTATTGGCCTGCTGTACTGACTTGTTGTACTGCCTTGTTGTACTGCCTTGTTGTACTGCCTTGTTGTACTGACTTGTACTGATTTGTTATACTGAATTGTTGTACTGCCTTGTTGTACTGACTTGTTGTACTGATTTTTTGTACTGGTTTGTTGTATTGGCCTGCTGTACTGACTTGTTATACTGACTTGTTGTACTGCCTTGTTGTACTGACTTGTACTGATTTGTTGTACTGGTTTTTTGTACTGGCCTGCTGTACTGGATTGTTGTACTGACTTGCTGTACTGGTTTGTTGTATTGGCCTGCTGTACTGACTTGTTGTAATGGTTTGTTGTACTGGCTTGCTGTTGTTCTTATTATTTTAAAGAATGTTTTTACTTCTTGTTTGTATGTGTGTGTGTGGGAGGGGGTATTTTGTTTTGTTGTTTTGACCGTATAGACGTATGTTGTTTTGACCATAAAGACTTATGTTGTTTTGACCGTATAGACTTATGTTGTTTTGTCCCTATAGACTTATGTTGTATTGACCATATAGACTTATGTTGTTTTGACCATATAGACTTATGTTGTTTTGACCATATAGACATGTTGTTTTGATCGTATAGACTTATGTTGTTTTGACCATATAGACTTATGTTGTTTTGACCATACAGACTTATGTTGTTTTGACCATATAGACTTATGTTGTTTTGACCATACAGACTTATGTTGTTTTGACCATACAGACTTATGTTGTTTTGACCATACAGACTTATGTTGTTTTGACCATATAGACGTATGTTGTTTTGACCATACAGACTTATGTTGTTTTGACCATACAGACTTATGTTGTTTTGACCATACAGACTTATGTTGTTTTGACCATATACACTTATGTTGTTTTGACCATTCAGACTTATGTTGTTTTGACCATATAGACTTATGTTGTTTTGACCATACAGACTTATGTTGTTTTGACCATATAGACTTATGTTGTTTTGACCATACAGACTTATGTTGTTTTGACCATATAGACTTATGTTGTTTTGACCATACAGACTTATGTTGTTTTGACCATACAGACTTATGTTGTTTTGACCATACAGACTTATGTTGTTTTGACCATATAGACTTATGTTGTTTTGACCATACAGACTTATGTTGTTTTGACCATATAGACTTATGTTGTTTTGACCATACAGACTTATGTTGTTTTGACCATACAGACTTATGTTGTTTTGACCATACAGACTTATGTTGTTTTGACCATACAGACTTATGTTGTTTTGACCATATATACTTATGTTGTTTTGACCATACAGACTTATGTTGTTTTGACCATATAGACTTATGTTGTTTTGACCATACAGACTTATGTTGTTTTGACCATATAGACTTACGTTGTTTTGACCATACAGACTTATGTTGTTTTGACCATACAGACTTATGTTGTTTTGACCATATAGATTTATGTCAAGGAAAATAAAAGGCTTCTCACCAAAATGACGTAAGAAGATGGCGGCTCATATTCAGGTGGGAAATGTTTCAAGTCTATCATCCACAGCAGACGTTCATAAGCTTCAATTACCTGTAATAGGCAAGTATTACATCATGTGAAGAAAGATTACCTGTAATAGGCGAGTATCACATCATGTGAAGAATGATTACCTGTAATAGGCATGTATTACTTCATGTGAAGAAGGATTGCCTGTGATAGGCATGTGTTACTTCATATGAAGAATGATTACTTGTAAACGGCATATATTACTTAATGTGAAGAATGATTACCTGTAAAAGGCATGTATTACTTCATTTGAAGAATGATTACCTTTAATAAGCATGTATTACTTCATGTGAAGTATTTTAATACTTTTTAAATTAATATTTTGCAGATATCTCGTGTTGCCTTCCTTAGAGTCGTTAACTTCCTCACAACTTTATCAACAGATCATGTCTCCCCTTAATGTAGTCGAGTTATGCTTCCCGTGACGTCTTTATGTTCCTCTTATGACGTCTTTCAAATACTTTGTATGATTAGATTTGTCGAACACGTCAATCAATCTGTCAATCACTCCAATCAATCTGTCAATCAAACCATTCTTACACCTTCATTCACTTACCTTCCGCCATCGTTTGGACCGTTCGTTGGTCAATATGTACCGCAAGATGCAGTTGGCCTCGGTGTGCAGCTCATTCAAGCTGCGGAACTTCCATTTGGGGCGTCTCTCTAGTGCTATTGATTTGATGGCGTCCATGGGCGTGGATTCTGTTAGAGTAGGTAGGGTCAATGTTCACAATACTTCATCCCCTTGAAATGTTATGTTTCTGTTAAACAGTGGCGGAAAATATCATTTTGGATTTATATACTTGACATGTCCATTGGTTAAAAACTTGCCTAGCATGTCCATTGGTTAAATATTTGTCTCACATGTCCATTGGTTAAAAAATTGCCTGGCATGTCCATTGGTTAAATATTTGTCTCACATGTCCATTGGTTAAAAAATTGCCTAGCATGTCCATTGGTTAAATATTTGTCTCACATGTCCATTGGTTAAAAAATTGCCTGGCATGTCCATTGGTTAAAACGTGTCTCACTTGTCCATTGGTTAAAAACTTGCCTGGCATGATTTACAAATTAAAAACCACACCATTATTAGTTTTTCCCCCTTTGTATACAAATGTATTCACGTAGTTTTATTTGATTCTTAAAGATATTTAATAAAAAGAACGTTCGTTTAAATAGCAGGGTAAACTATACATATGATGAAAGGATAAATCAGCTGTAATTTTAAATGAGATTTAATCCATGCTTCTATCATACAAGCTTCAAGGAAATATTACTTGCACTATTTTAAAATACTAATTATAATCTTATCACAAGAATCTCCTTTTTGGGTCTCTCATTAGTCACCTGTCATTGAGTCCCTTACAATCCTATACATCGTGTATCTAAATTGGGATCAAAGACATAGTGTATATAAATGGTGAGCGCAGACATCGTGTACATAAGTGGTGAGACTAGACATCGTGTATATAAGTGGTGAGACTAGACATCGTGTATATAAATTATGGTGAGCCAAGACATCGTGTATATAAATGATGAGCCTAGACATCCTGTATATAACTGGTGAGCCTAGACATCATGTATATAAATGGTGAGACTAGACGGCGTGTATATAAATGGTGAGACTAGATATCGTGTATATAAATGGTGAGCCTAGACATCGTGGATATAAATGGTGAGACTAGACGTCATGTATATAAATGGTGAAACTAGACAGCGTGTTTATAAGTGGTGAGCCTAGACAGCGTGTCTATAAGTGGTGAGACTAGACACCATGTATATAAATGGTGAGACTTGACATCGTGTATATATATGGTAAACCTAACCATGAAGTATTATTATGAAGTAAAATCTTTTATAATTAATTTCATTTCAAATTTTTTCTTTAACTATATAATTAGCATTTGTATTATTTATGTATCCATTATCATGGAAATATGATGTTTAAGACGCATTTTGGCTGTAAGAAAAATATAGACAAATTTTAGCTATAAAGAAACATTAAGACACATTTTAGCTATAAAGAAACATTAAGACACATTTTAGCCAAAAAGAAACATTAAGACACATTTTAGCTATAAAGAAACATTAAGACACATTTTAGCTATAAAGAAACATTAAGACACATTTTAGCTATAAAGAAACATTTAGACACATTTTAGCTAAAAAGAAACATTAAGACACATTTTAGCTATAAAGAACTATTAAGACACATTTTAGCTATAAAGAAACATTAAGACACATTTTAGCTAAAAAGAAACATTAAGACACATTTTAGCTATAAAGAAACATTAAGACATATTTTAGCTATAAAGAAACATTAAGACACATTTTAGCTAAAAAGAAACATTAAGACACATTTTAGCTATAAAGAAACATTAAGACACATTTTAGCTATAAAGAAACATTAATACACATTTTAGCTAAAAAGAAACATTAAGACATATTTTAGCTAAAAAGAAACATTAAGACATATTTTAGCTAAAAAGAAACATTAAGAGACAATTAGCTCGGTACCACCGTTTATAATATGCATCTTGTCATATCAAAATAAGGTCGATAAATTTAACGCATAAAAAGTTGTAAATTTGCTATCTTTGGGGTAGGCAAATGTGCAGAGCGGAAATTGTTTCCTCCTCCATCCCCATTACACCCCAACTTAACTTCAATTTGGCGCCCTTAGTCATCTGGGGTAAAAATATATCGAAATATAATATCAGAAGTTGACGTGGTTCAAGAATTTAACGAAATTGACACAGTCATAAAATGTATTTGTTATCTCATCAAGTTCTAAGGAAAAGATAAACAAGAAATAGTTGAGCGATGTAATAAAGTCACTTGAAATAGTTAAACGATGTTATCAAGTCACTTGGGATTTCTTACAAACATGTCTAGTGAACTCAATCTAACACTCACCAGGATATCGCCAGACGTTTGGTTGCCACTGCTATACCTGTTTAAATTTCACTCTTTACTTTACATCGATTGAATGCACCCAATAAAAGCTTACGGGAAGGGGGGGGGGAGACTCTGGTTAACCATAGAAGTGCCACTCTGCTGTTCATAGACCTAAACTCGACGCATGAATAGCCTCCTGTTGAGACGATATAGGTCATGCTTGCCACCACTATAAATAAGCTTCTTAGAGATTATATGACTTTATTTTCAATGACTTAAAGCCAACCTGGACATTGGCGTGATGTGCTCCGTGCTGAACTCAACGGCCAGTCTCCGTGCTGAACTCAACGGCCAGTCTGTTTTAAGCTGCGTCAAAGTGAAAGCCAGTTGAGGCCATATGAACTATAAGTATGACTATACTTGGCCCCTTATTGACATCAGGGGACATTATATGTGTATAAAAAATACTCGGTGATTTATTACTCTTAAATCTGTCAATATGAAAAAGGGGTGGGGGAAGCCCCGCTAAATGACAGCTGTAACTGCTATTGTAAGTAAAATAAAGCTCCTCGAATACAGCCCCTTTACTCGAGGTGATCACAAACTTGACACCAGACTTCCGAACGTGGGTGTTATATCGATCTCAGAGTGCGATCAATAACCGAATGGGGAAAAAGAAAATTGCAGGTGTTCAATCATTTGTGTTTGTAAGTCTGCGTACAAGTCTTATTGAGATTATAGTGTGCCAGCGAAGTTGTAAGTGAATTCTGCTAAGTGATTTAGAGAGACATTTTAGAGAGTAGCATAGTCGAGTTATCTCCAGACAAGCCTGTATTCATCAGGTGACACAAAGTAAATCTTTGGTGATAATGAGTTATGTAATTACTTGATAACTCGACGATAAATCAACAATGCTTTACTTATCCACTGACTATACCCAGTCTTTCTTATCGCACCACTTCCCCCACACCAACCGTTCAAAACCAGCACTTTCAAAACACAAAACCATTCAAAACCAGAACTCCCCTACACTTCAATACAACAAATACCCAATGACCCCTCATTTCCACACCTATTTAAAAACCAACCCCTAATTTCCACCCCTCCCCAAAAACCAAAGCTTCAATACCACCACTCTCCCAAACACCAACCCTTCAATACCACCACTCTCCCAAACACCAACCCTTCAAAAATAGCACTTCCTAAACACCAACCCTTCAAAAATAGCACTTCCTAAACACCAACCCTTCAATAACACCACTCTCCAATACACCAACCCTTCAATACCACCACTCTCCCAAACAACAACCCCTCAATACCACCACTCTCCCAAACACCAACCCTTCAATACCACCACTCTCCCAAACACCAACCCTTCAATACCACCACTCTCCCAAACACCGACCCTTCAAAAATAGCACTTCCTAAACACTAACCCTTCAATACCACCACTCTCCCAAACACCAACCCTTCAATACCACCACTCTCCCAAACACCAACCCTTCAATACCACCACTCGCCCAAACACCAACCCTTCAATACCACCACTCTCCCAAACACCGACCCTTCAAAAATAGCACTTCCTAAACACCAACCCTTCAATACCACCACTCTCCCAAACACCAACCCTTCAATACCACCAGTCTCTCAAACACCAACCCTTCAATACCACCACTCTCCCAAACACCAACCCTTCAATACCACCACTCTCCCAAACACCAACCCTTCAAAATTACCACTTCCTAAACACCAAACCCTCAAAACCAGCACACACAAAAAAAAAAATCACTCTCCCACACACCAACCCTTCAATACCACCACTCGCCCAAACACCAACCCTTCAATACCACCACTCTCCCAAACACCGACCCTTCAAAAATACCACTTCCTAAACACCAACCCTTCAATACCACCACTCTCCCAAACACCAACCCTTCAATACCACCAGTCTCCCAAACACCAACCCTTCAATACCACCACTCTCCCAAACACCAACCCTTCAATACCACCACTCTCCCAAACACCAACCCTTCAAAATTAGCACTTCCTAAACACCAAACCTTCAAAACCAGCACTCCCAAAAAAAAAAACCCTTCAATAAACCACACCTTCAAACACGAACCCTTCGATACCACCACTCCCTAAACAAAAAAAAACTTCCAAACAAGAACTTCCCACACACCAACCCTTCAATATACAACTGCTTAAAAGCCAACCCTTCAAAGCACCACTCCCCAAACACCAACCCATCGATACACCACGCCCCCAAACACCAACATTTCAATACAATAACCCCTAATTTCAATCCCCTCCCCAAACACCAACCCTTCAATACCAGCAATCCACAAACACCAACCCTTCAATACCAGCAATCCACAAACACCAACCCTTCAATACCAGCAATCCACAAACACCAACCCTTCAATACCAGCAATCCACAAATACTAACCCATCAATATACCACTCCCCAATTACTTTTCTTTCAACACTTTTCTTTAAGCACTTTTCTCTAAACACTTTTTTAAACACTTTTGTTTAAACACATTTCTTTGAGCACTTTCCTTGAAGCACTTTTCTTCCCATCAATTCCTTATAAAATAAAATAAAAAAATATTTTTTAATCCAAAAAAAAAAATAATTGTTTTTAATTTAATTTATCCCGAAGCACAGTGTTTAATAGGGTTCAAAACAATTAGCTTTCAATTGAGAAAAATCACAACTTTACTTTGGCCCAATAGGAACTAATAAATTAAAGTAAAAAATCACGATAAATACCTTTTCATTGTACACCACATCTGATTTATTTGAAAC